TCTCAGCGAGAAAGAGAATCCAAAACAAAGATTTATAGAGAAAAGAAGACAGAAATAAACTTAAAAATCGAACAAGTAGATATGTGAGAACAGATGTAATGACACACTAATGGTCTGTGAATAAAAAAATAAATGAACGGACGTGCTGAATGGAATAGCCCGGAGCAACAGCAAAAATCAAGGGATAATAAATAAACTGGTGGGTTTCAGAAACTACAGACACAATCGATTAAACAGTGACGATTGGCTCTGTGTGTAGCACTGAATTCGTCGATCGGACGAAAATGTCCTGGTTCAAAGTTAAAAATGCTAAAGAAGAATAAATACCTTGGGCTAGAGCTTTAGGGCCCTGAGTGTCAGAATTTTGAAGTGCATAAGAAGAATTGGACAGGAGATCAACCTCCCCAAACAACAACAGCATACTTGTAGCCAAAGATTCAATTGTGATCGGATACGGAGCCACCAGATAAACCTCAAAAAGTTTACGACTAGAACGAAGCGGTTTAACTGACCGTAAAGCACTCGGCTAAGCAACTTAACCTTCACAGTCAAAAGCCCACAAAAGCAACTCTGGAAGATTAGGCGAGTACAACCGATGGTTCAATTAACTCAGGGGATTTGTTTGTGAATAGAGCAAAGGCGGGCAAAGAACGGGACCGGAAACCAGAAGGGCAAGGGCTTACCAATAAGAGGTCCACCAATGATACTCGCCTGCTTGAGTTGGTATCCGCACTGGACTGTTTCAACGCGGACAGGCGTCGGAAAAGGGAGTGACACAGTAGTCCGAGAACCATGCCACTAAAACACCTGCAACCGTAACAGCCGGGTAAAAGGACAGAAACTATGAGCGCGAATGAGAAAGATTGTGATTTCAAATATATAGCTGGGTACAATAAAACAGAAAAAAACATCGCCTTGAATGAGTTTAACCATTGCTTCGGAGCAGCAGTAGTTTGAAACGGATCTTGATTGTTGGACTAGTTCATTGCGAATCGTGCTGTTAGTTCAACCTACTGGTGGTGGTGTTCAGGGGTAGATCACATCAGGAATAGCAAAAGCTAGAGTAGCTTTCGCCAACCTACCAACCAACCTGTGGCGCCGCCATGACATCCGACTGTCCCTCAACGGAACGATGTACATCGCCGCAGTTCGTAGTGTTCTCCTTTACAGTTGCAAGACCTGTACCTCCGCGTTGAGGATGCTAATCGACTTTCTGTATTTGACCACCGATGTCTGCGAAGCATTTTTCGTGTCTGGTGGGAACATCGGGTGAACAATGACGAGGACCATCGTCGTGTGTTGGGTGCAGATAGTTGTCCTCTAACGGAAGTAATCGCCCTACACCGCCTCCGATGACTTGGTCACGTATTGCGTATGCCTGCCCATCGACTACTTTTCCGTACTCTCTTTGCACGTGCCGGGCAAAGCTGGAAGAGGCGACGCGGCGGTCATACCATGACATGGGCTCGAGGCATGAAGAAGCTGGCTTCGGTTGGTGCAGCCCGCCTTCCATATTGGAGCCCAAGGGATGAGGATTGTCGTTGGTTAGAGACCCTAAGAGATGTGACCCAGAGTAGAAGTCAGTGGCGCGAATGCTGTACGGTCTGTCTATCCGTCTGTCGAAATCACGTGCCCCGTAAAAAATAACAACAAACAACACGAAAAATATCAAAAGGTGTACGATGAAACACACACAACTTTTTGTTATCCCAGTTCCGTACCATTTTCTATTTCAACTGTTGCACACTCTTCGCACTTTGCTCTGTATCCCAGCCCATCTGCCCATGTGATTGTTATTATTGTTGTGGCGTTTGCAGCTTGCTTGTTCACAAACCGGCGTAAATATATATATATATATATATATATATATATATATATATAAACTGACTACCAAAACGGGAGTGGTAACCCATCGAGTGACTTTGGACCTACCATCAATCAGATTTCACCTGTTGGTCTAATTGTGAGTTCATCAACAAACCATAGATTCAGGCAGAACTAGACGCAAGTTCCGTGTCGCATTAAAGCGAATCGGTCGTGTACAGAGTAACGGTCCGTTCATTGACGGTTAAAACTAACACAACCCATTGAGTCCCGTCAGTATCAGGCGGCTTACATCCGGAAACACCCGGATTAAAAAGTTCAGTTATTTTCAGATGACACCATGATCATTCAATTTTGAACCGGTCGGTAAACGAGCAAAGTAGCACAGGGTCTGGGGAAAAGACTACAAAACCTGTGGCGTATGTGATTGCACGATGGCTGTAGTGCGGACCACATAACTTGTTTGTTTTGTTTCCGTACCAAAACGACGCTCTACGTGTGGTCAGCTTTCACTTCGAACAGGAATAGGACAAGTAATGATCGAACGGAGTTGCGCTTTGGCTGGTACTCATCGATGTAGCATTGTGCTCACGCAAAGCATTTTACCATTAATTACCACAGTATAGACCGGAAAAAACAAGAGGATGCAAGGGCCAATTGTGGACCATCAAATTGAAGCCATTCATGTGTTCGATTTCGAAAGTCAGCGAATCAAATTATGTGAAGAATTTCACAAGATACGATTATAATGACCGCTTCAATGCCTCTTAAATCACTGATCCTTAACATTTCATCGGTTTTCATTTGTTTCCTTAACACTGATTGCACAGTTGCTGCATTTGAATGAGATCAAAGTGAAAACACAAGCGGCGTCCATGCTGAACTTCAATCCTCCTACGAACAATTTAAAAAGAATAATTCTTGTTTCAATTATTAAATTTCATTCGTTCAGTAAGCAGTACCAACGAGTAACTGCGTTACATAATCTCGAAAGGAATCACTTACACTAGTGATGGATTGAATGTCGACCCGATGACTGGAAGCAGCGGAAAAACAGCCAAGGCAACACAAGTTAAGAACCATAATCGACGGAGATGCTGCAATGAGGGGAGGAGAGGGGGAGTGAGATAAAAGATTAAGAGGATCCTCGAACACACGAACACACACACACACAGAAGTGGAATGAAGCGAAAAATCAACGAAATGAAAGCCACACTGATCGTAAGTTCAAGGAATACCGTGGATGACTGAGTGGTGGAGCACAGTATTACACTAGAATTGATACCCGGGTCAAAAAACTTTCCCTATTACCCGTTTTCCTGCGATTTCGCAGTACACTGATCGAGATAAATTGTCACTACTCAGCACCCAACTTGTGTGTTGAGTTTTGTATACCAGAAAGCGAAAGAAAAAAAATCTGAGGTTGGCAATTCACTTCAGTGAGTGATCAGATCGAACGAAATGCGAACACACCACACCAAAACCATAATAGCTTCTCGCGGTGCTTAACAAAGGACGGTGTCCAACTTGGTGGGATCTTTTTACACAACCCGGAAATCTTGTTGACTGGAAATCGGGCTCCCACAGGTAGAGCGTAGACCCCTGCTCCATTGTTTTACATCGCAAAATTTACGGCAAATATTTTCATCACCGAATGACCCGTTTTACCTCTACAATCATCAGGAGAATTTGCTCCTCTGGCAACTTAGCCAGGTATTGCTTCTGTCGATTTCACTTCCTTTTCCAATGCGGATTACTCTTCCAGTTGTGAGCATCTTACGGGTTACCTTAATTGTTGCTGTGATCTATGTTACCCAGTTGAAACTTTATACATTCGGACTGACAGATTCTCTTCGACTCTTCTGAAACAGCTCCGTCTTGATAAAGAAAAGGCCTAGCGGGCTGGAAGGTGTGGTGGTGTTAAACAACGATCATTATCATTCGGAATGGAAATATTGTGTCACAATCGGATGTATATTGAAACTCTTCTGGGAACCAGGAACTGTCTGCCGTGATGTGGTCTGCCTTGAAGCGGCTCTTCCTCAAACGTTGAGGAGTTGAAAAGATGATTCGCGAATTTTTCTTTACTAAACTCAACATTATCCGCATCTGCATCTACTAGAGAGAACCACACTGTCACCCCAGTTACAGTTTTGAAGCGGCTGGCCGTGATTCATTGTCCCCTGTCCTGTTGAAAGTGTGTGCTGAACAACTTGCTTTACCTCTTTCCCAGTTGTCCAGTTTGTGTATGTCATCCGGAAGTATCCCTGATTGCTGGAAAGCTGCCAGGATAACCCTAATCCCCAATCTTCCAAATACCGACCAATTGCTTGTACATCGACACTATTAAAAGTTTTCCAACGAGTCCTTTTTAACCGGATGACTGTTTTATCTGGCACCCATGACCCTATTCAGTTTGCCTACAAAGCTTCGCTATCCACTCTTGATGCTGTTTCTCACGTTGTTCACTCCGGTCGATCCTTATCGAATAAAGGGTCTGGCGAAATTGGTTTAATTTTTCCTAATTATGCTGATACTTTCGGATCGCTTGACCGCGGCATACTCATTCAACGTCTTTCGGATTGCGGCCTAGCACCTAATGTGTTGAATGTACTTCTCAATCACTTCGCACATAGGACGAAATTCACTTTCTGTAACGGTAAATCTTCCTCCATGCTAGAGTTCTAGTTTGTCTCCATTGCTTTTTTTACTGTACATTAATGAACTTCCCATCAGTTCCAACTTTATCGTGTGCAAGTATGCTGATGACGTTGTGGTCGGTTGTCCCTCGACTGATCCTGGCAGTTACCGCGAACTTTAGGACTTTCTAAATCAAATTCTTAGTTGATTCGATCATCGATGCCCTCAAAGCCGATGCATGTATATATATTCCTTTGAGCCTTAACACAGACGCGCATTACCAAAGCGTTTTAGTAACCAGACTGAACTCCATGTTTAAAGTAATATCAACCCCAAAGCTGAATCTGTCAAAAATATCTTGGAGTTACTTTGTCACATAAACTTTCTTCGTCCACGCATGTTGAAAACATTAATATGAGCCTTCGTAGATAACCCTTCTACGCTTTTAGGATAAAAAGCTCGGCGTTCTGCCAAATGTAATTCTTAAATATGTGACAGCCTGCATGTTTCCACATTGGTTGTACTATTCCCCGGTCTGAAGGAAGAAGACTTTATTCTCTTTTCCAGATCTTTCAAATTTCTTTCCTGTTGCAGTGACATTTTCAAGACAGTTATGGTTGATTTAACTGTGTGCATTATGATTCATGCGACAGGTTTATCAGCTATATACTATAAAATGAAGGAGGCCTGGATACCCTCGGGTAAAGCAGAGCTGAATGCTACCAGGCGCGTCCCCAGGTTGTGGATAGGACGGACACCTTCACCGAAGAAGGTTACCTGTTTAGTTGTGGCATACCGTAACAAATAAGCAGTCGTGAACCAACGGCGGCGGTGCTACCAGAGTGTGGTGGTTTTCAGGCTGGTCACGTGGCTCCTGTTTAGAAGCCGCATAAGCCCAATGACGGTGTCGTGACAAAGGTCGAAGTGACTGACCTTTTAAAACGAAAGTTATTGACCCCCTAACTTCCGAGGCGAGGGATTACCTCCTGCTTCTCTTCAGTTCGCGCTTGGTTGTGCAAAGGCCCTAAAATAAAAAAACGCCGGGTGACGCTGGGGACGTCTCTTGTACCAAACTCCCAAGGAACTCCATGATCTTAATCATGATCATGTTTGGAGTCGATTTATCCTTTCCAAGGAGCCAGCCGCAGTAAACAACAACAACAACAACAACAACAACAGACGAAGGACACTGCCTTAACGCCCATCTCAATAAATCGGTGTCCCATCCGAGTATGCGTTCCAAATTTAATAAGATTCTTTGTGCACGCACCACCACATACCGAAACAGTGGCATCAGCCCTTATTTTGCTCGTATCTCAGTAAACCGAGCAATTATTACTGAATTGAAAAATCACCAGTCACATTGGGATTTTATCATATCCATTTGTTGTTCATTTAGCAAAATGTTTCATGTTTCATTCCTATGTTCAACATTTTCTTCACTGCAACTGGGCGACAGTGCTGCGAGTCCATCCTGTTGGGTGCACAAAGCTAAACTTGACTTGACTTGAAGTTCTTAAACGCGATCGAATTTGCGCCTGGTCTCACGCGTCAATAGATGCAACTATGAATATATCAAGCAATCAATAAAGCACGGTATTGAGGAGAAATCATGTTCACACAATACAGATTCGTCAATATTCACGAAGAATAGAAAAGTCCAGCACAAGCGTGAATATGGGAGTACAAAACAGGAACAGAAACAGAATGAATGCGGTCGTGGGAAATGGATGCACAAGACAGAATGGTTATCAGTCTGCTGTGACTTACCGTGCGACTGCCACCGAACGAACGATCAAATACGGGCCACAGTGCAACGAGAATACAGGCCACAGAAAGCAATGGACGGTAGAGAAATCCCCAGATCTTGAACCAAAGAGGCATGGTTCGAGAACAGGTAGAGGCGAACGAGAACAAAGAACAAATCACAGTGCGAAAACATTACGAAAACAATTTTAAAGTAGATAGTGCTCACATACCATCAAGCGCCTCAAACAGCCTCTGCAGAGGAAGCCCTACTCACAGCCTTCTCGTGCTGGCGGAGGTGTTTCCCCCACGAAAGTGGCAAAACAGCACATTACACGTTTGACCCTGTCCAAAATGCGTACCATTAGATGTACTGGATCCCGATCATCAATCAATAATAATTTGCATACACAACATCAACATATTTCTAGTCAGCATTTGATCAACCGCAGGTTCCGGTTGTGAATTCCCTAAGAAAATTCACTTGTTTCATCCAAAGCAACATGGCAGCATACCCCCAAGATAGACTTACGTACCGATTAGTTTGTCATAACGATTGTTGTACGGTGAATTGTGACAGTCTGAACTGATAGGCCTGTAAGAAAACAGTTTATCGGGAGCAGGCAGAATTCAGAGCATAGTCCGCGACCACAGGTCCGGACCAGTAGAAGTGGCAATCTCTAATAGATCTTAGCCAGTGATAGCCGATGGCAGTGTACTTGATTTGAGTGCTTCACGGAGCAGAGTGGAGAAGCTCCCACGTAAAGCGGTGTCGGTTATAGTGCAGTAAGTGGTCAACCGATAGGCTTCCTTTGTCCGTTCGATTTGATGAGACTGCATATGGGTCACCCGAGCATATTTCTGATTCACCCCAAGATTCCACTCAAGTTTTTAAGTTACCGGAAACAAGTACGATATTCGTACAGTGAACAACCAAGTAGTTGAGACAGGCCATTGAAGCGGTCAGCTTTGGTTGGTGAGAAAAGGGAGCAACTTTTAGTTCAATAGCTGCTGACTCGCACAGAACTATCGACAGGCACAAGGCATGATCGACTACTAACTGGTGTATAGTCGAGAAGGTGCACGGCCATGACACTGAAACAACCCCAACGAAAGCAACATCGCGGACGTTAGATGCAAAAACGACTGACAAACGGTGATGGAAAAGTTAGGTGTGATCTATCCAGGCGATCTAATTTGATTACCGTACCACTTAAAATCTAGCTGAAACAGAAAGTGTACAGTGTCTTTTACGCGTTGAATGAAGAACCGAAGACCGAAGAGAAACAGGGCTTCCCAAATGGGAGCGAGCGACATGATTTGCAGTAAAGTACAAAAACGGTTTTTCTTTGGGAACTGACCACAAAAACAACGAAGAATTTTCGGTTTTCTTCGCGAATCCTGATCGGGGTTGTGTTTTGGTTGGTTCATTCATCTGAGTAAGCCTTTAGTGCTTTCTATGCTAGAAATTCAGGGGATTGCGGGAGTATTAGTAATACATTTATACTTTTCGGCTATTCAGTATTTAAAGCTAGCACCCTTGCGACTGCCTTCCCATTCTTTTTTTGACCGAGTATCGTGGAGGATTGGTGGGAATAATCGTCTGGGACAACGTTTGATGATATTTGGCGGGACACAACATCAGGCGTTTTACGTAACCACGCAGAACAACATATATATGACTGACAGTGACTGTGAGGATAGGAGGAAAGTTGTGTCATTTGATAACCACTGGATTATTATTATCAGTCACTAGTGCATGGATATATATGGCTGGAATTTAAATTTTTGTATCTCCTGCACTGACGCATGGTTTCGGTGTGGTGTCATTCACACTTGTCGTGGACTGTTATGCGAGTTGGTTCTTTTGTATGTGAAACCAGTGCAGCAATAAACAGCATGTCCGATCGTAAATTATTCAGATGCGAGAAAATGTTGGTTTTGAGTAGCCACCTCTTCTTTCTACACAGCAAACATTCAACAAGAGTGAAGTTAGCCAAGCACTGGATAGGAACAACGGGCAGCTTTGCTGTCGTCTGGTCCCATACCACACTTAACCTATCGGGGCCTTATGTGATTCGCACCTCCAAGTTCCGGGTATTACGTCACTGGTTTCGAACACTGAACAGTAGGTCCTCGTGACTATGGGGCTTTCCTCATCTGCTGTTCGTCACACGAAAGTGTGTAAATTCGATCTGGGAGTGGTGATCTGGCTTTAACTCATCACCAAAAGGAGAAACTCACGATGAGTTCCAGTAGGACTAACACGACCAGCCCAAGCAGAATCGTTCTGCAGGATCCCGAACCACAAACACTGGAGCTCAATCGCGAACACAAAACGCGTAACCGCGCGCGTTGATCCGCAGAACAGGTCAGATGAAGAAAAAGGACCAGGGGTACGAGTTGGTACACGGTGTGTGTCAACGGTTGTAAATGCGCTAAAATGTAAGCAACAGAAAGTCTGTTAGAACAAACGACGCATCTAATCACTACAGCTGCACATCAAACTGCGGTAAATGCTGTATGTATATATACATATATGCACATAAGTATTGACGAAGCTCAGTAAGAATTCTTGATATTGAGAGTAGGGAGTGTTTTACAAAAGATGCCGAACCAATCATCACACAAATAGACAGCAGGTGTCAAAATATTCCAAATTCAAGAGATACATGATGCTCACTACCACNNNTGGTCAAAGTGTGTGAATCCACTATATAAATCAATTGTTATCATCATTGTTCAGTGAAATTCGACAAAGAAACATGGAATAATACTACGACCAAGACACATTGCACTTGAAAAAGAGAACAATGAACCCAGCAAGATCGGATTTCATGATGGTAGTGTTTGAGTCATTTCCATGCGGCATAAGACTCGTTTCTCCTAGGTTCTGGGGAACCAAATACTATCGCATGCCACTGATGAAAGGGATTTGGGAGTTATGGTACAGGAGGACGTAAGATTTTCCACGCACTGTGCCAGAGCATCACCTGTGACTCTAAAGCAAGTGGGTCTACTCAGACGTGCTTTCGGGCAGTTCGAAAGAGCACTGTTCACACGCTTGTTATCAGCGTTCGTTCGGCCGTACACGGAGTACGTCGTTCAAGCATGGAATCCATGGTTAAACCGCAACAGGAAGGCTCTAGAACGTCGACAAAGGCTAGCAACGAAATCGGTAAAAGGTCTGTATAACAAGACATACTCCGAAAGACCGCAAATATTGGGACTCTACTCATCCCAATACCGCCGACTTCGAGGGGACCTAATATTGGCATATCACATACTGCATCAACCCAACCACCCAACCCTTGCCGTTCTCTGCTGACTTCATCTCATAATGATCACCTCAGGGGACATCCACTAAAGGACTCAGAACAGCCATCTTGATTGCTGGTATCACTCGCTTGCAGTCACAGTGTGCGGAGTATGGAATTCTCTCCTATCTGATGTAGTGTGTGCTCCTACAATTGAACTATTTAAATCACAACTTGATAAAGCATTGGAACACTTAGAATTTCAACATCCGTGAGTGATCACGCACATTATTATCATTGTTATTTTCTCTTTGTGAAGTTAGTCAAAACATTCTATAAAAATCCTATGGGGTACGATAAGCTTTAGCTTTGGTAAATCGCCCGTAATAAAACTTTGACTTTGAAAAACTGTCAGTGAACCGAAAATAAACTAGTGCGAGATAATAGGCCGATTCATCAATGTGTCACCGTCACAAAACTTTTGTATGTGAACAGGATTCAGTAGTGCGTGTATCGTGGGAAAGGGAAGAGGTTTGTGACCGTCATCGTGCAAGGTTTTTTATTACACTTTCGTGTGATGAACAGCAGACGGGGCGAACACCATAGTCATGAGGATCTGTTGTTCAGTGATTGAAACCAGTAACCTAAGCCCCGCGGGACTTGGAGTGGCGAACCAAATAAGACCAGGCGTGGTAATTGAACCGGAGGACAGCAAAGTTGGGTGACAATGGCGGGGCTCGAACCTCGGACCATAGGGTCCAAAGCACGCCTGTGACAGCGATTAAACCATCGCGCCACCACCACCCTAGAGAAGAACTAAATAAATGACCGGATCAAACCATGAAGCGCCCGATGAAGTGAGCCCCTCCCCCTATGAGGAAATATGAGTGGAGAGAACGGAGAATAGAATACAACTGAGTAATAAGCGATTCAACTCCAGTGGAGTGAGGCGCAATGCCTCAGTGGTTGTAATGTTGGCCTGGTACGCACTAATGCTAACAACCATTACCTCTCCTTGATTCGGAAAAAATAGCACCCAAGAACTAAAACAGTGAAATTATTTCTCACAAAGATCAAGTTCTACTGAATACCGTAACAAGGTAAACAGTAGAAGAGGTGAACTCTATATATACAGTCACGAGTGACAGCTGTCCGGCTACAGTAATCAGAAAGTGGAGAATGAAGAAGAGCCTTAGAGGACAGATTTAGTGTTGGTTGAAGCGACGGCCAACGTGCATAGGGAAAACGATCGTCGGTGTTGGGTCGAACTTTGGAATTTAAAGCTAAGAGCACATCAGTAGCAACGATTAAAACACCATGACAAGCATCATAGAGAAAAACACAAAACTGTTGAGTTGGTCACGACTGGGCCTTGAAATTTCGGCCACGCCATCCGTTTCTCCATCTCGGAATATTTACCGCGTAACTACCACTGTATCTCCGATGTTTCTACGTCATTTGAATAATCTTTACCTTGGTTGTCAAGGCGACCATTGAGCGACTACAGTAATGCCCCCCATTCCATAAAATACACCCGTGATTTTATGCAATCAATCAAATGGAATAAATACAAAGCTACTACCTGTTTTCGCAGAACAACAGGGAATAAAGCTAAAAGGACAGTCAGAAAAATTTTGAAAAATCCGAGGAAGCATCGAGCCGATTGGAGAGTTGCTCTTCGGAGACATCCCATATCCGACTTAACCAAACTGCGGGAATAATCCCAGCTTGGTGTGATTATGCTTCAAGAAAGCTGGCTTCATAACGGAATAAATGATGAAATAGTAAGCCTAGGTGATTTCGTTACCTATCACGTCGATTGTACAGTTCCTTATTCCAGATGGGGTAGTGGTGTTATCACATTTGTCAAAAATCAATGGTATCACCTGACCAAAAACGAGCTTTCTTATTCTATACTCTATTTGGATGCGCCTGCAATACAATGTGGCGTCGCTGAAGATCCACCCCTAGAGATGCATTAAGCGATTGCTTAACTTGACTTGAAGAGCACGGAAATTATTTGAGAATGATCAAAAAGGGTTTACATCAAACTCGTTGGGAAAATGCCGAACGTTCGGAAGCCATGGATGATGAAAACTCGAATAACTCAAACACGGTTCTAACGATTGCCAGCTGAAAAGCGGTCTGACTGGTAACACGGACAAACTCACCGAACAGGATCACAAAAAGGATCGNCGAGAAAACCGCACAGCCGGACGAACATATTCGGCGAATCCTCGTGAACGTTCAGAGGTTCCGTATTCCTTGGAACGGTATCGACCAAGGTGGAAACAATGACCAAACTCCAGAGACAAAAGATCGTGCCGATGCAAAACCTAGGTGTGCAACGAAAACAGAGTGGAGACGAAACGGAAGTAAGGCGAAAAATAATAACATCAAACGGAATCAAATTAGGATGATACACACAAGACCCTGAATGCTGCTCTCATATTGACAGCACTGATTACTCGCTCAGTTCTTCATTTAGAACCTCCGTACACTATTTCGGTGTGGTGGTGATGTTTTGTCTCTAAAATCAGTAATGCAATCCAGCACAGTGAGGTTTACTGACGGACAGTAAATTGGAGAGCATTTATTTGTAGTCTCACATCCGCAACGGATATTTGGTCGATAAAGGCTATTAGATAGGCGTTTCATCCATCGGCAGCAATATACGGTTAATGTATCCCTATTGTGAGTCTCGTTCCAACAGAACTACTTAGTGCTCCTTGTTGGCCTCCGAAATCCTCAGTATAGTCGAGGTGGGCTTCTCCGGTTGTGACTGATTATTCTTCCATTACGTACCGCGAAACGCTCCTAAATGACCAAAGGCCTCAAATAGCCTCTGCTGATTAAACCTTACTCACTGCCTTCCAGTGGCGGTGTTTTCCCAATAAAATGAGAGGACGATTAGCCAACATCTGGGGGTTAAGACCGGGTCGGTGAACCACAGGCAACTCACCTAGAGCAGTTGGCCAAAACGCTCTATTCCAAACCAATGGGGCGTACGAACTACACACACCTTCCCAGTTGTGGTGGTTCTGTTCACCGGCTCGATTCGGCACCGAGCTCTATTGGGCACCTTGGATGTTTGACCCCGTCCAGAGGGCGTATGATCCGATGAACTGGACACCGGCTCCTAATGGATTGCGGATACCGAGCTCCGTCCTGCTGTCTTGCAGGTTGGCTTTCTAGCCAATCGAAGGTGTGTGCGTTACCACTGTGCCAACCAGCTCATGCCATGGCTGAACCAAATTGCCAATTCATGTTTGTTGCGGTGTCGTCTTCAGTGATAGTTCATTTTGGCCCAACAGCAACGAAGGGAGACACAGATGACATACTCCAATCGAAAGCCTCTCACCAAGTTAGGACATCCTTGCAATAAAAACCAATTATCCCACACCACTACCCACAAGTAACTGCGAGGCAAATTTGAAATATCAATACAGCCTTGTAGATTTGTTGGCGAATCAGTCCGTACCTGCATGGAAGCCCTGACTTGGTGGGAGGCTTTCGATTGGAGTTAACAGATTATCATCTGTGTCTCCCTCCGTTGCTGTCGGGCCATAATGAACAGACTATCACTGAGGACGACACTGCAACAAACATGAATTGGCAATTTGGTTCAGCCATGGTATGAGCTGGTTGGCAAAGTGGTAAAACACACGCCTTCCGTGGGATGGGTCCGGAGTTCAAATCGCGGACGGGACGGTGGATACGCACTGCTGATGAGTTCCAATAAGAGTGAAACTCGAGTCTAGTGCTTCCGAATGTGTGGTTGAAACGATGAACTGAGGATTGTGCGTGAAGGTGAAGTCCGCAGGATAGTCAGCTCAAACGAGTAAACATTATCGTCAAGAGGATCTATTGGTTACTTATGGTAACCAGTAATCTGCACCTTGCGAATTAAAATGGTGAAACGCTTAGGGCCCCGTTGGGATAAATATGACATGGAGACGAATGACAGTGAAGCTGCAACTCAATTTATGTGAAGATCTTGAGCATAGACTAAAGATCTTATCTGATTTTTTTATTACACATCTCAGTGTGAAGAACAGCAGAGCGAATCTCAAAGTCACAAGGATCTACTGTTTTAGTGGTGGAAACCGGCAACCTAAGCCCCGGGACCTGGAATGGCGAACCACATAAGACCCTGATAGGTTAGGCGTGGTAACGCCTGTATAACGGCAACGATAGACGAATAAGTACAAAACCCATCGAAAATTGGTTCACAGAATTGGTAAACACAGAATGCGATCGGTGCCACGCATTGGCGGTCTGCTACGTGCGAGAAAGCCGGGGTCAGAAGAGGATCCGATTCCCACACTTACTCCCAAACTAACAGAGGTCGGTCGGAATCATAGAGTGAATCAAAAGGACTTACCCGAGAAAAGGCCGGTCATACTTGTGATAGTAGTTTAAAGCCTCAAGCGATAGATCGGTGAGTTTTTCGTACTGCTGGATCTAGTGGACCGAGAAAAAGAAAAGACTAATGAGAACGGATTAACAATATTACATGGTTTTAAATTATGGTTACTTGAATGATGATGGGAAATAAATCACTTTGATTTGGACTGATCATCCTTCAAACTTCATCCCCATGCACAATCCTCCGTTCATCCAGTGAACTATTAGATTCACGTTTCGCTCTGATCAGAGCTCATCGGTGCCTATGCACCAGACCGTCGGGTGTTTGAACTCCTTACCTATCGCATGAACGATGTGTGTTGCCAATGTGCCAACCAGTTCATATAGGGGATGACCAGAATTATCAATTTGAGTTTTTTCAGATGCCGTTTCCAGAGATACTCGGACATTTCTATCAATTCGACAGCAACGAAAAGAGATACAGGTGCCAGTGACTCAATGGTTTAGAGACAGCCAACTGCGTACTTTCGACTCTCTGGTCTGGGGTTCGAGCCCCACCACCTAAGTTTGACGGTAAGCAGATTTTCTATCGGCCGGTAAATGCCACGCCTAACCTATCGGGGGCTTATGTGGTTCATCATTCCAAGTCACGGGGTTGGGTTAACGGCTGTCATTCAAGTTCAGAGGCGAACAAAGCCAACAGGACCGATTGGGTGATAACCTTGCAAGCTTTATTACTAACTCACTAGCAAAAATTTGGACGAGAGTGCATTCCTTCATTTCGCAGGCAGAGTAGGTGTCCCGCGCCTTCCAAGTTGGGGTCCGACAGGCTCTGCGTCATAGTTGATTGGAGATATTGAAGGATATGGCAGTGAACCGACAGCGGTGGCGTTCTTGTTGTCATTTCTTATCAGGCCAGAATGCTTGAAACGACATGTATACACAGTTAGATTATGTACTCTGTGTGTTGACCTTGGAGATTCACCTTCTTCTCCGTCTCTCAAAATAGACCCAATCCCTGTCCACCTTACCTATTACCAATAACCTTGTATGCATTGCGAGTTTGGCAGTGATCAGTGAAGTTTGCCTCACTGTATTTCGCTGTACGATGATGAGGATACTGGTTGTCAATACTGAACAGCAGGTCTATATGACTGTGGGGTCTAACCCGTCTGCTGTTTATCACACAGGTTTGAGTATACTACCTCAATCTCAATCAAACCTGCTCAGTTAGATTTTTCATTCGCACCGGTTGGCACAGTGGTCACACAGGCTTTGCCAGCAGTGGGTGGGGAGCTCAAAGCTTGGACAGGATGTTGGAGATACACTACTGATGATCTCTTATGAGGGCAAAACCCGTAGTTGAGTGCTTCCCGAGTTGACTGGAGAGGTTGAGGATGGTGCGCGAAAATGGAGTCTGAGGACTGGGTCAATCAAAATCAAAATTATTGTTGCAGTGACAAACTGACTTGTAAATGATAACAACTACGATGAAAATAAATAAAACGGGCAAAGACGAATAAATAGAAGACCTAGAGTTTAATGACAGCCCTGTACATATCGCAACAAGTGAAAAATGAACTCACTGCCTCAGGAAATCTGCCTTCTGTCATTGACTTTTCCGCCAAACGTACTCGTTCTTCAACATCGGAGCTCGTCAAAGACCTATGAATTTAAAATCACAAATAGAAATAGAACGCTCCAAGGAGAAAGGCGGAAATGCGTTTATTTCATAAGAGTATCAAAGAGAATACGAGCAATGTGCAAAGAGACAGCACCATTTAGGTCAATTGTAAACCCTCGGGTTAAGTAGAGCTGATTACTACTAGGCGCATCACTGGGTTGTGGAATATGTGGGGAATATCTTCACCTAAGAATACGTTGTGGCATACCGCAACAAATAAACAGCCGCTAACAAACAGTGGTTTGGTGCGTTTCAGGACAGTCACCTGGCTCCTGTTTCAAAGTCGCATAAGCCCGATGAAGGTGTCGTGAAAAAGGTCGATGAGATTGGCCTTTTATAACCCCCCTCGCTTCCGAGGCGAGAAATTACTTCCTACTGCCTTGCAGTTCACACCCGATTGTGCAAACGCTAGAGGTGCGCACTCCAAATAAAAAAAAAAACAGTGACGCTGGGGACGTCTCTCGTACCAAACTCCCAAGGAACTTCATGATCAGGTCTGAAGCCGCAGTAAAGTAAGTAAAATAAGGTCAATTATAAAAAGGAAGTCTAAGTAACGTTTCTAAGTAGCGTTTCTAAATGGCACAATGTACGACACGCACGCTTCCCAACAACTTTTGAAATTGGGCCAGATTAACGCGAGCCTTTACTGCTCTGAGGTTACGATTCGGAGAATCAGAAAACTGGAGCGAAGGTAATAAACTCGATATTATCAGACGAAGCTTTTCGGTCTGCCAGTCGTTATCCGGTAACAAAAAGTATAAATGAGATTTCATACACCTAGAGAGCGAGATATTCTGATGCGAGAAATAGTTAATATACCTCTCGTTGTTCTCGCTGGATCCATACAAGAATCAAGTCTGAATGCCTCAATCGTGGCAATTGAGGTATTGGAGAATTCACGAGCACGGCCATAATAAGTCTGCCTCCAAAAGCCTCAGTGTATGATCGGGGGTGGGTGTCTAGAGTTGCGACTGGTCACCCTTCCCTTGCACCTCGCGAAATGCTCCCATATGACCAAGCATCTCGAATAGCCTCTGATGAGGAAGTCCTACTCATTGCCTTCTCGTGCTAGCGGTGTTTTCCCACCAGAGTGAGAGGACGCAAAGCCGATATTCGGGGCTGTAACCGTGTTGGTGGGCCACTGGCAATTAACCTAGGAGTTAGCCAAAAATCAAGAATCCAAACCAACCAAGAGCAGGCGTAAAACCATACACACCTTCCGGGTTGTGGCAGTGGTCACCGGATCGATTGGGCATTGCGGTGTATTGGGCACCGCAGACGTTTGACCCCATCCAAATGGTGTATGATCCGATGAGGGCACCGGCCCCCAATGGATTACGGTTCTCGCAAACCACACTGCTGCCTTGAGGGTCAGGCATTGGCTAGCCGAAGGCTCCGTTTGTGGATGCCTCAAGCAAATTCACCTGCCTCGGCCTGGTCAACCTGGCAGTATTCGGTCCACATGCAAATCATGGAACTATTTTCTTTTCTTCATAAAGACTACTGTACCATCATATGTTTAACACACAATCTGGGTTTGAACAAGTGTGAAAGTATATAAATATATATATGTGCATAGTAAGTCTGATATTGAGTATTACACAGTCCGTCAACTTTCTTGTTAATCCTTGTAGTGATCCTAATGTGACCCGAGGAGTGCGTACTCTTGTGAGAAGAATGAATTCCGAGAGGGCGTACAACGTCCCGCTGTATAAAACTGACGAACCAAAATAGTGAGCATGAAAGTGTATGTCTAGTGACCAGTTTATCATGATAGCATGCAATCATTCACAACAATGCCCAGTGGAGTAACGGTGCTTACATGTATTCTTTGAAATACAAATGATATGCTTCTTTCTCATTCTTTTTAGCCTGAAAAGGAAAATGAGTGAAAAGCGTCAATTATTTGGTAGGAGATAGATATTCATACAAAAAATGGATCAAGTAAGTAAGAGAGAGAGATGTGGAAGCTTACTGATTGGCCGCTTCTCTCTTCCTGAAAATTGTATCATTGTATATTTGATGAAACGGAGCAAAAATTAAAAAGAAAAGTTCTCATGCACTTCGACCGAGAGAATAAAATGGGGAATCGGAGAGAAACTAATCGGGGGGAAAGAATGGACGGGATACAATGGTAGAAACAGGGGGGAACGGAATTACTAGTGATTGCTTTGATAACAGTTTCAACGACATTAGGTCAAGGATTTCAGGGTAGTGGAGAAAAGCAAAACTAGAACGATGTGCGCGGAGTTAATCACGAATTATTCATCATGATCTGTACGGCTCCGAATCACAACCATCGCATTCGGTCCTGGTTTAAGACCGTGCCTTTTTCATTACACGCCCGAGTGTGATGAACAGCAGACGGAGTAAACTCCATAGTCGCCAGAACCGGTAGATCAGCTGTAGAAACCCGTAACCTGAGTGACCAACCACATAAGGCCCCGCTAGGATAGGCGTGGTATTTATTCGGAAGACGGCAACCCTGCCTAACACCAATGTCTACAAGTATGCAATATCATCCGTTACCGAAGACAATAGAGTATAACGCAAGCGTGGTCACGAACAAGGTTGTTGTCGATAACTTCTAACCAATACACATGCAGTTATTTATGGCGTAAGATGCATAATTGAATATAAATTTATTTATATTATATTTATAAATATATATATTTATATATATATATTTATTTATATATTTATTTATATATATATATATATTTATAAATTTATTGAATATAAATAACGAGTTTTCAACAGATTTGAATATGGGTGTGGTTTGTAGCTCAGGTTGATGGTTGACTCCACAAACAACGAGATTACTTGTTAGGAAAACGTCCGGAGTAAATGAATTGAGTGGAATCCTTCTCTTTTCCCTTGGTCTCTCTATCATCATCAACAAAATAAAATGCGTTCTTTTACTTTTCAAGATATAAACATATAGCTTGAATAAAACAGATAAGTACTAGAGTCCACAAGCTGTTCTCTCCCGTTTGAAAGGAAGGGGGCCGCAGGCCCACCTATCTGCTGTTAGTTGATGTACTTCTCCGACATTTTTTTCGCGACCTGAAAGCAGCTTTCGTTTCAGTTGATCGCTCTAAACTGTGGCGCCGCCTTTCCTTGTAGAGCATGCCCGAAGAGTTCATTCAACATTACGATCTCTATATACTCATAGCCGAGGTCGAGTCCGAGCTTACGGCACGTTTTCGTCCGAGTTCACCACGGAAAATGGTGTTCGTCGGGGGTGGTCGCTCTCCCCTTTTCTATTTAACTTTGTTATGGATTTGAGTATGGAAACAGCGCTATCCTCGTGCGAGGATAGTGGCAACGGTTTACTTCCAGGTGGTAAGCTGTCTGATCTGTCTGGATCTGATCAGACGACATTGTGCTGCTAAGCGAAGATGCAGGTAATTTGCAAGCCTCTCTGGATAGTTCGAGCACCAGCGTCATGTTTGGTATGCGTGTAAAATATCACTACAGGACTGGGTTGGTCCAGTACCCAGACACATTTTAACTGGGGAAGTAATAGCAAACGACTGGGGAAAGGATGCAATCCACAAGTGAAGTTTCAGCTTTAGCACTTAGAATAATGTCTATTTGGCGTCCTTAATGCATACTAGACATCAATTGCTAACCAGCCCAATGTAGGCCCCAGACAAGCCTGTTGACCAACCTACTTGCAAATCTTCACGTTGAAATCCCTTGGATAAAGAGGTTGGCAAGGTTTTTTAAACCTGCAATTGATTCGGTGATAAACTACCTGCAACGCTGTTTGACCATGAACTTTGGGGAGTAAAAAAGAAGTTGTGAATGTTATAGTGTTAACAACACAGCGATGTCGATAGAGAATTATATTCGCCGACGTTTCGGTTACCGTGGTTAATCTTTCCCAAGGCAGGTTTTACAATCAAAGGACTCGGCCCGAAGGCATGGTACTGTCTATGGATAGCACAGCTGAGTGCTACCGAGAGCATCCCCAGGTCGCGGATAGAACGGCCACCTTGGTGGTTAACCGTGAATAGGTGAGGCTACCTCACTGAATAATCGCGGACGATCAGCGGCGATGCTAGAGGACGTGGTGGGGTTTTCGGCTGGCAACCGATATTCTGTTAAAATGCCATAAATGTCTGCCGACAGTATCGCGACGTGTGCGAATGTGGCCCGCCACCAAATAAGGCCATTGCCACTTGCCTACTCTTACGAGTAGGACAAACTGAGGAATGCTACCTCACGGACACGTTGGCAATCCTGGATTGGCGAAGGGCCATCCGAAAGGCGTATGAACAGTTCTAACGGTCACCGGCTACCAACAATTCTACCCTGTTACCCCGCATGCCGCACTTGGTGGTGCAAGGGTTAGAGGTGCACCCTCGAACAAAAGCCGAGCGACGCTGGGGACGTCACTTAGTACCTCATTCCCAAGTTTCTTCATGGATCGTCTTACAATGGTACATAACGTTCACGCTACGGCGTTCCCGGGAAGCGACGCGCCCTGCACTCTCCCAGTGGCTGGGGTGACTAATGAGCAAGCTGGGAACCTAAATCATCTATGCACCAGATCCAGCATCCACGTAGCCTGCTGGAATGTTAGAACATCGCTAGACAAAGGAAGCCAGTGTATCACGATGCGATCACTGCACGACTACAAGGTAGACATCTGTTGTCTGTCTGAAGTCCGACTACCTAACTGTGGCACAAAACTAATCGACGTACCACATAGTAACGCAACCTACCGGTTATACCACAGCAGCCCAACTGACAACTTCGATTTGCACGGGGTAGCAATCGCCGTGAGCGGCCGGGTCAACAATGCCATGATTTCCTGGGAGCCAATCTCTCCCAGGACTGCCATAACCCGCTTCTGAGGAAAACCGTTTAACCTGACTGTCATCGCTGTATATGCTCCAACGTTACATACGGAAGAGTCCATCAAATACGACTTCTACAACCAAGTTCAAGACGCAGTGAACCGCAGTCCGAGATGCGACATCCTCGTTATCGCAAGGTACTGGAACGCACGCACTGGTCCGTCAGACGAACATACTCGGCATGTTCTGGGAAAGTTCGGCCTTGGTCAACATTGCGAAAATGGTGAACGCCTAGTCATA